AAAAGTCAAGCAATTTGATTAAACTAGAGGAGGGAAGGAAAAGGATAATTCTATGTCATACGACTTCTTGCCTATGTGGCCTTAATGATGCGGAGCAAGGTAGCAACAAAGGGTGAAAGGCAGCAGAAGGGGAGAACCGAACCACAGAGGTGCTGTCGGGGGGAGTCGGAAGCGGGTGGCATCAGGGCTGGAGCGGTAGCACAGCGGGGAGGGCGTTTGCCTTGCACACAGCTGACCCAGCTTCGATTCCCAGCATCCCATTTGGTCCCCCGAGCACTGTCAGGAGTGATTCCTGAGTGCAGAGCCAGGAGTCAGCCTTGAGCATCGATGGGTGTGACCCAAAAAGCCAAAAGAAAAAAAAAGGGAGGGGTGGCATCATTAACACTATTACAATCACAGTATCTATCAATAAAAAAAGGTTTGAGTGTGTGGGGGGGGGCGGTGAATTCGATGTTTTCATGGCCTCACTGAGGTGGATTAAAATAGTGGTTTTATGTTATGGATATCACATACATATTGGCCAGAGGGACTACCTGTCACTTCTCTCACTTTTTCAGAGCCTTTCTTCTGATAATGCCTGTTTATAGCAAGAAAACCGGAGGGGGTATAAGGGCAACTGGGGGGCACCAGGCCACATCCAGCAGCGCTCAGCCGCCACTACTCCTGGCTCAATCAAAGCTAGGGGATTAGTCCTGGCAGTCAAGGAACCGAACCAACCACAGCCTCCGGCGAGTCAAGCAAGTAAAGCCTAAAGTACAGCCTCCAGCCCTTTGTGCCATCTCCTAGGCCAGGGCAAGTTATTCTTTAATCATCTGATTTGGCCTGAGGACAGAGCTGAGTGGAAAGGAGCAAGTTTCACTTGAGCCCTGGTATCACGATGAGAAAAAAAAAAAAGGGGGGGGGGGTGGAGACTACTTGATAGTCTAGACCTGTAAACAGAGTAAGTTTAACAAAAATCACCCAATTTCCAGACATCCTCTCCTATCCAGAAAATCTATACAGGTGTATGTGGGTGACCTGGGGGTGGGTTATTCGCACTGCACATATGAGGGGTGGGTGGAGAACGACAAGGGAGAGGAGGGCAGGGAGAGAAGGACAAAGGTGGGCTAGGTAGGACAAGAGACAGGGAAGAAAGTCAAGTCAGAATTGGAACCTGATGTTATAAAGTGCAAACTTGGCACTTTATAACACCAAAGGGAAAAAAATCTCCTAACCAAATCCTAGCCTTTTTTTTTTTTTGGCTTTTTGGGTCACACCCAGCAATGCTCAGGGATTACTCCTGGCTCTGTGCTCAGGAATTCCTTGGAGGACCATGCTGGGGATTGAACCTGGGTCGGCTGCGTGCAAGGTGAATGCTTTACCCACTGAACTATGGCTCCGACCCCACAAATCCTCGTCTTAATACCTGTCTTGAGAGAATGCTTGAGACCTGGAGGCTTCTAACAGGTAAGTGACACATCCAAGAAGACAAGAGCTAACCCTCACAGGTATGAGCCGGGGGTGTGGGGGCGACTAAAACCTCATGGGAAGGGGGGTGTTCCAGTCCATCCTTCATGCCCTACCGAGGTCACCAGTTGCCCCCCACGAGCAGCTTTCCAGCACGGCCACAGCCCCAGAAGCACAAGGACTTAATGCAGAACCCAGCAGCTTGGAGCAGAAAAGTGAAAGGACTATGCATTAATCCAGGCCATCATGTCTGCCCAGAGGGGAAAGGGTGTTGGTCCCTTCCGCCCTCCTCCCTCTGGAAAGAAAGATGGCGGCCACATGGGAGCCTTGTGGACAGCAGGTATGAGCTGGGGGTGTGGGGGCGACTAAAACCTCATGGGAAGGGGGGCATTCTGGTCCGTCCTTCACGCCCTACCGAGGTCACCAGTTGCCCCCCTCGAGCGGCTCTCCAGCACGGCCACAGCCCCAGAAGCACAAGGACTTAATGCAGAACCCAGCAGCTTGGAGCAGAAAAGTGAAAGGACTATGCATTAATCCAGGCCATCATGTCTGTCCGGAGGGGAAAGGGTGTTGCCCCAGTCGCCTTCTCCTCTCTGGAAAGAAAGATGGCGGCCGCATGGGAGCCTTGTGGACAGCAGGTATGAGCCGAGGGAGTGGGGGAGACTAAAACCTCATGGGAAGGGGGGCGTTTCGGTCCACCCTTCACGCCCTACCGAGGCCACCAGTTGCCCCCCACGAGCGGCTCTCCAGCACGGCCACGACTCCAGAGCACAGAAACCAATTTCTTAACTATCTGACTTTCGGTAGAAATATGAACTATGGCTCCGACCCCACAAATCCTCGTCTTAATACCTGTCTTGAGAGAATGCTTGAGACCTGGAGGCTTCTAACAGGTAAGTGACACATCCAAGAAGACAAGAGCTAACCCTCACAGGTATCAATAAGTAAAATAGCAGAAATTTTACTTCCTTCCAGGGTCAATAAGTAAAATAGCAGAAATCCAAAACCAACATTTAATTCTTGAACCCAGCTGTAGAAAGCAAATCACTTCACAATGCTTTTTCAGCATGTCTGATTGGGGGGGGGGGGTAAACTCTAAATAATAGTGGTGAATCTTTTATTGAAACAATGAATCTAATCAAAGCAGATAGAGTGTTAACTAGAATTCATCTGCCTCACAGGGACTGGGAGGGGTGGGGGGTGGGATTTTATTGGGGTTCTTCATGGTAAAAAAAAAAAAGTATTGGTAAAGGGAAATGTGTTTGATATTTGCATGACTGAGACCTAAACCTGAAAGCTTTGTAACCTTTCCCACGGTGATTCAATAAATAAATAAATAAAAAAGAAAAAAAAAAGAGCTAACCCTCAACATCTCCACCACATGTATACAGCACCATGAGGACACACAGCAGTGGAGGTGGGCCCTGAGGTGGGCCTGGCAGAGTTTAAAGCCATGGTTATGAGGGGAGGGCGGGAAGCCCTGCTAGCCACAGCCCAAGCCAGGCTCAGGCATGAAAGAAGACGTGGTGGCTTGGGACTGAAGGAACAGAAAAGAATCTTGGAGGGGGGTGGGGGTGGGTGGGTAGAGAACAAAGTCATAAAACATCCATCTTCATTAAATACTTACAGGAATACTTTATTCAGTTTTTCTATCAAGTTATTCTTGGAAAAGGTTGGTAATTTTTGTTTTTAATGGTAAAGTCAAATTAAACTTCACCCTAAACTTCCATGATTTCTTCAATCATAAGAAAAACGAAAGGGAAGAACTCAAAAGCTATTAAAAACTACAGAGGCAAGGGCTGGAGAGGGAGTTCAGCAGGTAGGATGTTTGCATGTGCCCAGTCGGGGTTGGGTCACCGGCATCCCCTGAACACCTCTAGGAGTCATTCCTAAGTGGAATGCAGAACCAGGAGTGAAGCCCGGGGCACTGCTGGGTGTGGCTCCCCCAAAACAAACAAACAAAAATCACAAAGGTGAAATGAAGTAATCAAGTACACTTTGGGGCCGCCCAGGGAGCTGAAAGGGCCAGGTAGGAGGTAGGATTCCAGCTGCTGCACACGTGGGGCCCTGAGCTCTGCCAGGAACGACCCCAGCAAGGAACAGGGAGGTGTCCCACAGGATACAGCCCACCCAGCTCCCCCACAGGAAAAAACAACTTTATTTTCCTTCTCATGAAAAATCTCATTTTCCACTGAGAGGTTTTAGGAGTAGAACAATGGTAGGTAAATGCTTCACTTATCCAAAAGAAGAAAGCGAAATGTTTTGGCAAGCACAAAAACGGATATAAAAATTGAAAAACACGGTTTTCAGGGGGCACTGGGGCCAGCCCCCCCCACGGACTCAGCCAACCTTCCGGATGCCCCGCCAGGGAATCCCAGCAGTGCTGGGGGTGGGGGTGGAGGTATGGAGGGGGGATCTGATTTTCAAACCATGAGAAAATAGCAAACAACTTCAAAAATAGTGGGTTGATCCCCGTAGCTACATTGAAAGAGGGAGCATTCTGAACTTAAATTATTAGAGAAAGGAAGTCTTCATTAAGGGAAATCTTTTCCATCCTAAACATGTTTATAATAAACAGAGTCCAGTTGCTGTGGTGACCCACGGCTCAAGTATCTTACGGAAACAGTAGCTATCAGACCCCCAAAGAATCCAAATTTCAGGGCGTTGCTTCGATTAAAAAAAAAAAGAGACGCTCTTGAAGAAAGGGGACCAAGGCTGGCTTTGAACATAAGCGCGAGTGGGCGCGCGCGAAGCCCCGGTCCCGGGCAATGCGCGGGTCCACGCTGGGCTGCACTGACCCCCCGAGGGGCGAGGAGGAGCCGGGAGGGGCGCTCAGGTGGGTGCGAGGGAGGCGGGCTGCCCCGGGGGCACGGGTCCAGGTGCTTCCAACAGCCTCGGCGGCGATGGGGAAGGTTCAAGTCAACCACAGGACCCCCTCCAGCGACCCCCAAAGCCACTGCCCCTGGGCGGCTCCCCCCCGCGCGCGCGGCAGCTGGACCCTAACCGGAAAGTAAAGGCTGGGTGCTGGCGAGAAGGCGAAACAAACACACAGACACACACACACACACACACACACACACTCGGAAAAAAAAAAAAAGAAACTTGACACCGGATGAGCAGAAGCGCGGGGAGAGGGGGAACCGCGCGGGGCCGTGCGCCCCCGGAGGAGATCAAAGTTCGGGGCGTGGGCAAACTCACGCGGCCTCGGGAGGCACTCAAGTCCTCCACTTTCATTTTCCAGCCTGCGGGCTCCGGAGTCGGGCCGATTCCCTCCGGTGCCCCGCGCCCGGGCCCCGCCAACACCGCCGCCTCCTGCCCCCGCGCGCGCGCGCGGGACCCCCCAGCCGGGGCGCAGAGGGCACGCGGGGCGCGCTCGCGTCCACCTGCGCGCCGCGGGCCGGGCGGGGGCGCGCGGCAGGGGGAGGCGCGTGCCCGCGGGCCGGGCGGGGGCGCGCGCGCGCTTCCTGCGGGGCCGCCGGCCGCTCCCCGCCCGCTTCCCTCCGCCCCCGCCCTCGGGACCCCGCCGGGGCGCGCGCGCGAGGCCGGCCGCTCACCGAGGCCGCGCGCGCGGGGCTCCCTCCGAGTGTGCGCCTCGACCACCGACGCTCGTCTCGGCCCGCCGCCGCTTCACGCCGGCAGCTGGAGGGCGGCGCGGCGGCCGCGGCGACCCCCGCGCCGGAGCCCGACAAGGCGGCGGCGGAGGCCGAGCCGAGCCCGCCGGGTGCCCGCCGCCGCCGCCCGCATCGCCCGCCGCGCCTCGCGCCCCGCCCGCCGCCCCCGCACGCGCCCGCGCGCGGGGCTCGGGCCGCTTCCCGCCGGGCGCGCGCTCGGGCGTTCCCCGCCGGCCGGGCCTGCCCGTCGCCCCGCGGCCGCCGCCACTCTCGAACCCCCCACGGCGGCGCCGGGGCCCCTCCCAGACGCCCCGCCACGGGCGTCACTTCCGGGGGCGGGCGGGGAGGAGCCGCCGGCGAGCCCCCCCCCCACTCCCCCGGCTGGCAGTGGGGCGCGGGGGGCGGGCGAGGGCGCCCCCTGCAGGCCCCCGGCGCCCTCCCCGTTCGCTTCCGGCTCCCCGTGGACCACCGCAGCCGCGCGGGAGCTGCCCCACCCGGCCGGCTCAGCCGCTCCTGCACCCCGCCGCGGCGAGCGGCTCCCCGCACCTCCCCGGGCTCCCTGATGGGGTGCAGCTTAGTCACCCCGATCTGGGGTGCATCTCATCACCCCGTGTCTGGCCGGTGGAGGCTCGTCACGCAGAATTCATAGGGAACCAGCTCAGCCTCCCACGAGAGGCTGCTTGAACTCAGCAGAAGGGGCAAAGAGTCATGAACGAACCAGGGTCTGCTGAACAGAACCTTCAAGAAATACTGTTTTGAGAGAGTCAAGTGGAAATCTGCCACACAGGCAGGGGTGGTTGGGAGGGGGGTATACTGGGGTTCTTGGTGGTGGAAAATGCGCACTGGTGAAGGAACGGTGTTTGATCATTGTATGACCCACGGAGACTTGAACTGAAAGGCTTTGTGAATGTTCTCATGGTGATTCAATAAATAAATTTTAAAAAGTACTGTTTTCTGGGTGGATTTTTTTTGGCGGGGTGTGGAGGGGTGTCTGGGGTGGCTCGGGGATCACTACTGGGGGGCTTGGGGGATCCTTTGGGATGCCAGGGGTCGAAGGCAAGCACCCTACCTGTTGTGCTATCGCTCCAGTCCCAAATGCTCTTCTAAATGCATATACTTCCAGGGCTGTTCCTGTGGGTTCTTGGAGGCCCCAGGAGCCAAACCCAGGTTGGGCACTGGCACTTGCATGCACCCTAAGCCCTGTCCTCTCTCCCTGGTCCTCTAAGGGCAGGTTTAACAAGTGCCATAGACAGGCCGGTGTCTGAGTGACTGTTTGTTATGGTTGACACTTATTAGCTGTGTGACCTGCAGTGACTTGCTTAACCTCTCTGAACTGCAGCATAGTATCCTCACATAACATAAAGATAATGGGCAAGGATTGCATAAGATACAGGCTATAAAAGTGATTTAGTGAGTTATCAGGCACAGTAGACACCCAGTAAATGGTGACATCATTTATTTTTGTTTCGCCCTCACCTCCACAACTGAGAATTCATGGTAAGATTAAACTTATTATTGGAAACCTTGTTCTATCATCCTTTTGCAGGTTTTCGGAAAAGAATCATCACTTTCTTTGATTTCCAACCTCATCCACCGTAATAAATATAAAGCACAGAGGTATTCTTCTAAAAGCAACAGTACCCAAAATTATCTTTTCTAAAATCATTTCCCCAAAGGCAGAGACATATTTTTATTAAGAAAGATGTTACTGGTGCCCGTTCGAGCAAATCAATGAACAACGGGAGGACAGTGCTACAGTACTTTAACAGATATATGCAATTTCCAAAAAGCACTAGCACTCTTGACCTATAATAGCATTTTATTTTTCCCTTGTAACAACTTAACATTTTAGACAACAAGAAGGAAAAAAAGGTTAAGAATCTCTAATCTTAAGATCTACCCATTGGCAGCATTTGTTCATAGGCAGGTTCCCTTTAGAGGCGCTCTATGAGGATAGGTAAGGATTGCAGAAGTCTTGTGGGATTTACCTGACGGTATTGTCAGGTGTGATGTATTTTTGGAAAGAAGCCTACTTTGGGAGTTCTAAAATTAGTCACAGCAAGTCTATCTGCTTTTAAATGAACTGCTGTTGTTAAAAGAAAAATTACACATTGACAGTAGTGAAACTAGAAAGTTGACTTCAGATTAGTGCACAAGAGAGGGACGAGTTTCTTGGTGGGCCTGGTTTTCCCACTCAGGACTCTATAAATACAGTATCCCTCTCCATGGCTCCTCACACAACAGATGGTTCTGTTTTTGCAAACTCCATGGTGATTATGTTGGTCAAGAAAAGAAAACAGCTGTTTTGTTATCTTGCTTGGTCATTTTCCCATCAGATATGAATTCTCAATCATAGCCTCAACTACTCAACATTATCTGCAATTAAATGTGCCTGTTCCGTGTTTAAATGTTTTCTACCTGTGCTGCCCTGGAAAAACTTTTTAAACCGGTACAGTTATTCCCACCTGCCACCTCTTGGCTCCTAATTTCACTACATTTTCTATCTCCAAACATCTAGTTATGATCATTCTCCTCTAAAAAGGCAACTTCCCTTCCCCTCTCTTCTATTCTGTTTCATTCTTTTCATTTATATTTTTGGGGGGGGTGCATATCTGACAGAGTTCATGGTGCTCCCACTTGCTCCTGGCAGTGCTCAGGGGACCTTGTGCTGTCAGGGACGGAACTCAAGCTCTGTGCAGAACAGGTGCTTGTCCCCATTCAGCCAACTAGCTCTGCCCCGGCTCCAGGCCCACCACTTGGTTCTTACCCTGAGTTTGCATCTCTTTTTCTCTACAGAAATGTTTCACGGACTGTGATGCCTTGAGCAAGACTGGAGCCATCTGATGCCCATTATGTCTTTCAGGCAGTGTTTGGCAGCTCATGAAATAAAGAGCTGTTTCAAGTCAGGAAGCTCCGACAAACCCAAGCAGGGACAGTTGTGAAGAAAATCGCCACATGGTAAGAGAATAAAAATCGCAGATTCTAGCATTTGATTCTCCCTAAACGTAAAGCAAGGTCCTCCTTAGAAAATCCTTATACTGCATTCTTTCTGCATCTCACTGTCAGTCTCTTTAAAATAAAAAGAAGGTCGGAGAGAGAGAGCTCAGCGGGCCGAGCACATGTTGCATTTGGGAGGCCTGAGCCCCCCCACCCCCATACAGCAGGGTGCCCTGAATTCAGCCACCCCTGAGCACCCATATGTGGCTCAAAACCAAACCAAATTTAAAGAAGACTCATCATACTTTTCATACCAGATAGAGTTTAAAACAAACAAAACAGCACATAAAACTCCAACACAGTTGGACTGTTGGGCTTTTGTCAAAGGACCGTTACAGTTATTATGCTTACGGGGATTGAAGTCTTAGAGGAAAAGTTACCTTTGAAAGTAAAATGCAGCTAGTTGCTTACTGAGTTTAGCAGCATTTGAAACCCTCATTACCTGTCAAGGCCCTGAAATTTACCACCAACCACTAGCAATTTCGTTAGAAATCTCTTTACATCTAAATGATCCTTCTGAGCGGTAATTTGATTTCTAATCAGAGAGTATTCAAGGGCCAGACAAAACGCTGTGAAAAGATCCTGAAGGAGATGCTCATGGCTTATCTCCCGAGGGCACGAGGGCAGGCAGCTATGGCAACATCTTTCAGACCTAGCTGTGACCTTCACAGTACACATGGATTCCCGGAGAAGACATGACGGGACATGAGTTACTGCAGTCACGAGCCAGGGCATAACGACTAACGCAGCTACTGATCTGGCACAAACACACCTCACTAACCACCTCATGGGGTTTCCATCTTCAGAATCAACACCCCATCTACTACTTTCCTCCTCCACTAATATTTTTAACCTAAAATAATTCTTTTGGTCTTTGAAATGAGTCCTTTTTGGGGGTGTATTAATACTTACGTGAAGGATGTGCTAGAGAAAAAGGAGGAACTGATTAGTTTTCCTTAAGAAAATATGTGATTTAATTCACAAAAGTGGGTGAAATTCACCATGTGGAATGATGTAATATTCTGGATGATTTGACACCTCCTTGTAAGGTACATATTGCACTGAATTTTAAGCCATCACGCTATTTGATTTCTCTAGAATATTTTATGATAATTGGCTAGAAACATTTCTCAATTAAAATTAGTTCAGAAACCATCAATCAATGCATAAGAACTTGCTGTTCAAAAAGGAATTTTTAAGAATTTCAGTGGGACTGGTGACACTGACCGTGACCCAGATGGTCATCGGGTGTGGCCCCCTCATGTTTTCAGGTTCTTTCCTGTGACCTATTTTGATCCTATTGACAATGAGTTCAGCCGAGGACTCAGAAATGAAGGGCCGGGAAAGCGAGGGGTAACATACGGAGGTTGTGTATGTTCTGTGCTGTGGGAGGGTCTTGCTGTGGGGGGGTCTGTGCTGTTGGGGGGGCCTTGCTGTGGAAGGAGGGTCTGTGCTGTGGGGAAAATCTGCTGTGGGGGGGGTCTGTGCTGTGGGAATCTGTGCTCTGAGGGTAAGGTCTGTGCCCCGTGGGAGGGTTGTGCTCTGGGGGGAGTCTGTGCTATAGGAGGGTCTGTGCTCTCAGGGGAGGGTCTGTCCTGTGGGGTCTGTGTGGATGGAGGGTCTGTGCTATGAGGGGGTCTGTGCTGTGGGGGGGCTCTGTGCTGTGGGAGGGTCTTGCTGTGGGGAAAATCTGCTGGGGGCGGTCTGTGCTGGGGGCGGTCTGTGCTGGGGGAGGGTCTGTGCTGTGGGGGTCTGTGTGGATGGAGGGTCTGTGCTGTTGGGGGGGTCTGGTCTGTGAGGGGATCTGTGCTATTGGAGGAAGGTCTGTGCTGTGGGGGTCTGTGCTGGGGGGGGCTGTGCTGTGGGGGTGGGTCGTAGAGAATGAATTAGGAGCTCCTCCCATGATAACGAAGGACCGTTTCCGGATCGAGGTGGAGCTTGGAAAACTTGGTGATAATTCAAAAATATGTAAGGCCAACTTTTCCCTCCTAACTTTATTTGTCCAGCTGCTAAACTGATTTGGGTTCGCTCTGCTGGAAAACTTAGCTCTGAGCTGTGCGCCCAGGTCGGGGGTGGGGGGGGCTCTGCCTCCCCTCTCAGA